GATCTTAGTTTCTTGTTTTCTGCTAGCTTTTGAATTTGTTTGCTCTTGCTTCTCTAGTTCTTCTCATTGTGATGTTAGGGTGTCAATTTTAGATCTTACTTTCTTCTGTGGGCATTTTGTGCTATAAATTTCCCTCTACATACTGCTCTAAATGTGTCCCAGAGATTCTGGCATGTTGTGTCTTTGTTTTTATTGGTTTCAAAGAACTTATTTATTTCTGCCTTAATTTCGTTATTTACGCAGTAGTCATTCAGGAGCAGGTTGTTCAGTTTCCATGTAGTTGTGTGGTTCTGAGTGAGCTTCTTAATCCTGAGTTCTAATTTGATTGCACTGTGGTCTGAGACACTGTTTGTTATGATTTCTGTTCCTTTGCATTTGCTGAGGAGTGTTTTACTTCCAAATATGTGGTCAATTTTAGAATAAGTGCTATGTGGTGCTGTGAAGAATGTATATTCTGTTGATATGGGGTGACAAGTTCTGTAGATGTCTATTAGGTCCACTTGGTCCAGAGCTGAGTTCAAGTCCTGAATATCCCTATTAATTTTCTGTCTCGTTGATCTAATATTGACATAGGGTGTTAAAGTCTCCCACTATTATTGTGTGAAAGTGTCTCTTTGTAAGTCTTTAAGAACTTGCTTTTTGAATCTGGGTGCTCCTATATTGGGTGCATATACATTTAGGATAGTTTGCTCTTCTTGTTGCATTAATCCCTTTAGCATTATGTAATGCCCTTGTCTTTTTTGGTCTTTGTTGGTTTAAAGACTGTTTTATCAGAGACTAGGATTGCAACCCCTGCTTTTTTTTTTTTTTTTTTTTTTTCGCTTTCCATTGGCTTGGTAAATCTTCCTCCAGCCCTTTATTCGGAGCCTATGTGTGTCTTTGCATGTAAGATGGGTCTCCTGAACACAGCACACTGATGGGTCTTGACTCTTTATCCAATTTGCCAGACTGTGCGTTTTAATTGGGGCATTTAGCTAATTTACATTTAAGGTTAATACAGTTATGTGTGAATTTGATCTTGTCATTATGATGCTAGCTGGTTATTTTGCCCATTAGTTGATGCAGTTTCTTCATAGTTTCGATGGTCTTTACATTCTGCTTCGTTTTTGCAGTGGCTGGTACCGGTTTTTCTTTTCCATATTTAGTGCTTCCTTCAGGAGCTCTTGTAAGGCAGGCCTGGTGGTGACAAAATCCCTCAGCATTTGCTTGTCTTTAAAGGATTTTATTTCTCCTTTGCTTATGAAGCTTAATTTGGCTGGATATGAAATTCTGGGTTAAAAACTCTTTTCTTTAAGAATGTAGAATATTGGCCCCCCACTCTCTTCTGGCTTCTAGGGTTTCTTCAGAGAGATCCCCTGTTATTCTGATGGGCTTCCCTTGTGGGTAACCCGACCTTCCTCTGTGGCTGCCTTTAACATTTTTTCCTTTATTTCAACCTTGGTGAATCTGATGATTGTGTGTCTTGGGGTTGTTCTTCTCAAGGAGTATCTTTGTAGTGTTCTCTTATTTCCTGAATTTGAATGTTGGCCTATGTTGCTAGGTTGGGGAAGTTCTCTTGGATAGTATCCAGAAGTGGTTTTCCAACTTGGTTCCATTCTCCCCGTCACTTTCAGGTACACCAAACGTAGTCCCATATTTCTTGGAGGCTTTGTTCATTCCTTTTCATTATTTTTTCTCTAATCTTGTCTTCTTGCTTTATTTCATTGAGTTGATCTTCAATCTCTGATATTCTTTCTTCCGCTTGCTCGATTCGGCTACGATACTTGTGTATGCTTCACGACGTTCTCATGCTGTGTTTTTCAGTTCCATCAGGTCATTTATGTTCTTCTCTAAACTGTTTATTGTAGTTAGATATTCCTCTAACCTTTTGTCAAGGTTCTTAGCTTCTTTGCATTGGGTTAGAACATGCTCCTTTAGCTCAGAGGAGTTTGTTATTACCCATCTTCTGAAGCCTACTTCTGTCAATTTGTCAAACTCATTATCCGTCCAGTTTTGTTCCCTCGCTGGCAAGGAGTTGTGATCCTTTGGAGAAGAAGAGGCATTCTGGTGTTTGGCATTTTCAGACTTTTTGCACAGGTTTTTCCTCATCTTCATGGATTTATCTAGCTTTGGTCTCTGCTGTTGGTGACCTCTGGATGGAGTGTTTGTTGGCTTGGTCATCATTTTTTTTCTTGATGTTGATGCTATTGCTTTCTGTTTGTTAGTTTACCTTATAACAGGCCCCTCTGCTGCAGGTCTGCTGGAGTTTGCCGGGGGTCCACTCTAGACCCTGTTTTCCTGGGTATCACCAGCAGAGGCTGAAGAATAGCAAAGACTGCTGCCTGTTCCTTCCTCTGGAAGCTTCATCCCAGAGGGCACCCGCCAAATGCCAGCCAGAGCTCTCCTGTATGAGGTGTCTGTCGACCCCTGCTGGGGGGTGTCTCCCCGTCAGGAGCCTCAAGGGTAAGGGACCCCCTTGAGGAGGCAGTCTGTCACTTAGCTGAGCTCAAGCGCTGTGATGGGAGATCCACTGCTCTCTTAAGAGCCAGCAGGCAGAAACGTTTAAGTCTGCTGAAGCTGTGCCCACAGCCGCCCCTTCCCCCAGGCACTCTGTTCCAGGGAGATGGGAGTTTCATCTATAAGCCTCTGCCTCTGATTGGGACTGCTGCCTTTCTTTCAGAGATGCCCTGCACAGAGAGGAGGAACCTAGAGAGGCGGTCTGGCTATCATGGTTTTTTGGCACTGTGGTGGGCTCCACCTAGTCCGAACTTCCCAGTGGCTTTTTTCACACTGTGAGTGGAAAACCACTTACTCAAGTATCAGTAATGGTGGACGTCCCTCCCCCTACTAGGCTCGAGTGTTCCCCGTTGACTTCAAACTGTTATGCTTGCAGTGAGAATTTCAAGCCAGTGGATCTTAGCTTGCTGGGCTCCGTTTGGGTAGGATCCACTGAGCAAGACCACTTGGCTCCCTGGCTTCAGCCCCCTTTCCAGGTGAGTGAATGGTTCTGTTTCTCTGGTTCCAGGTGCCACTGGGGTACAAAAAAACTCCTGCAGCTAGCTTGGTGTCTGCCCAAATGGCTGCCCAAGTTTGTGCTTGAAACCCAGGACCCTGGTGGTATAGGCACCCAAGGGAATCTCCTGGTCCGCAGGTTGCGAAGCCTATGGGAAAAGCGTAGTATCTGGGCTGGATAGCACAGTTACTCATGGCACAGTCCCTCATGGCTTCCTTTGGCTAGTGGAGGGAGTTCCCCAACCACTTGAGCTTCCCGGGTGAGGCAACACCCCACCCTGCTTCTGCTCACCCTCTGTGGGCTGCACCCACTGTATAACCAATCCCAGTGAGATGAACCAGGTACCTCAGTTGGAAATGCAGAAATCACCCGCCTACTGTGTTGGTCTCACTGGGAGCTACAGACCAGAGCTGTTCCTATTTGGCCATCTTGCCTGGGAATCAACCAGTTTAAATTCTTTTAAACATTTACTTAAAAAAACAGAAGCTCTAACAGCGAAGACAGAAAACAAACATGTATATAGGGGTCCTCTATAACCACAATTCAAATGTCTGAGAGAGGGCTTCACAGGTTCCAAAGCATTTACATTATCTTCTCCAAAGCTCACAATAGCTTTATGAAGTAGAAAGACGTCATTATTTTCTTTTGAAGTTAAAGAGGCCCCTAGAGGTAAATAATTTGTGAATAAAATTTCATGCTGGTGAGGAGCAGAATGGCAACTGGAATTTAGGTCTTTAGGCTTATTGATAAACGCTTCCAATTTTTCACTTTGAAAATGTGTTAAAAAATACTTGAAAAACTAAGAACTTGAACTTCTTTAAATAATTCTCTAAAATGCCACACAACTACTTAAATATAGTAAATATTCTTAGGTTTATGTTTTTAGTATGTAAAGAATAAATACTTCAAGGATAAATAAGTTCAGGTGTCATCCTTAAGTCCGAAAGCCATTTATTAAAAGACAAAGTGGAGGATGATGGGAGACAGCAGGCAGGGAAAAATGGGAAAAGACCACAGCATTTCCTTATTATGGATATTCAGAAAATATTCAGAAGAACCTCGAGCCCCTGGACAGCAAACAAAGTTCTAAGGGCTTTACTCTTTCAAAAAGCCTAGAATTTTATCTGTACCATCCTATCATACACATACGTATTTACTTCAGATCTTCTGTATAATTTATAAAGCCCTAAAATTCTTAGAAATAGCTTTTAATGATTATAGAAATGCTTTAGGAAGTATGATAGCTTATTCAATTCACTTTTTGTAAAAAGATTGTTCTGAACTTCCTACTGCTATCAAATCTTTTTAGGGGAAATGGAGCACATATTCATTTAAATTATCTTCTTATTTTAGTTTACTGGGCTCTTTAATCAATAAAATAAGTTTTTACTTTTGTTATCCTTTCTGTCCCATTCCACTACTGAGTTCAGCTTGACTAGAACTTTTTTCTATTGTCTATACCAGCACTTCCCAAAGTGGGTACCAAGGATCACTAGTGATAGAGCGAAGAAGCGTTAATGCAAACAAACAAAAGTAAAGGGAATTTTGCTAAACAATGCATAAAAAATTCCTGCCTTGGAAAGTCACAAAGGATACTAACATATAAAAAGCTTTAGAAATCCCATACCATGTTTAATTTTGCTTAATCCATTCTCACCAAATTTTTATTTTATCAGCCCCATTATAACAAGAAAAATCTTGCATTACCAAACTGGCTACATTGCAACATTTTCAGTGAAACCCAACTCAGTATAAATCACATAACATGATCATGAAGTCCAACATGCATCTTAGTGACACATATATAAGGTTGCCTAGATCTTGCCAGACAGTGTTTCTTTGAGGAAAGGGGAACATTTAACATGATTTTCAGTTAGAGAATTATCGGTTTATTTTTTTTCTTTGAAGGAGCTTCCTGGCCAATCAAAGCTCCAACCAGACAAGTTAAGGCCTAGATTTACTACACAGGTATAAAAAACTAAACACAGAGCTAATATCAGTTTAATACCTTTTATCTTTAAATGCTAATTTCTCCAATTGGCTTCTCCAAATTATATCATCCTCTGTTTTATTGAAGAACATCAGCTTCACTTTCCTTAAAAGAAAAACAAAAACTCAGAAATAATTAATTACATGTAAAATATGCACAAATGGCAAGTCTAAAGTGAACCAGCGTGAATGTTTTAGTGCCCAGTAGGTAATTAAAAATCATCAAAAACTGAAATGAGATAAAAGAACCTACTTAATACCTAGTATTAGAGGAGGCAGAGTAAGAAATGATGAATGAGGACATGGTAACATGTCTATTAAGGTCCAGTGAGTAATCAACTTAGAATACCTTATACTAATATAACAGCCTCAAAAAGGATAGTAATTAGAGACAAAATTACATACCTGAGACTGGGTATATCAGTCAAAGCATAATTCAGTATTTTAACCATTGGTGTGAAGCCTGTTCCAGCTGCCAACAAAAAGAGATCTTCTAATTCTTGGAACTTGGATATTTTAAAATTGCCCTCAGGACTGCTTACAGAAACAAAATCTCCTAAACAATGAAATACAAACTAAATCAGAAAAAAACCACAAACAAAACAAAAAACCCAGCCGGGAAATTAAGAAGCCAAAAGTAACTGAATTTAAAACACTAAGGAGTAACAGTATAAACACTTAACTTGCAGACTATGTATCAGTCTTTAAGATAAATAAGTAGTCTTAAGGATACTCATTAGGCCCCTAAGTATGTCTGAATTATATCATTACAGTCAAATTAATAATGAGGTTTTATGGTATAATTTCCCACCACTATTTTCCCAAACCATCAGAAGTCTGAAATTTACAAACTACTGCAAAGTACTTATCCACAAATTATCAATAAAGGATTGATTGCTAAACTAAATTTTAAGTACTTCAAAAGCAGAGTCCACATATATCTGTCTTACATGGTACAGAGTAAAGAATAGATATTCACTATTTACATATTGATTATTAACCATAGTAACAGGATTAGTAGGAGAGAAAATTGAAATAGAAATGTATTCTAAAATCTTATGTTGATAAACATACCAACTTCTCTTCCACCAAATTTTTGAAAAGACCTATTAATTAAGAAAGGCTGTTCTGAGTTTAATTCCCATAAAAACAAAGCAAGATCAGAAATGCAGTCAACTATACTTAGAGCATGCCACTTTCCAATCTAGCATCAACACATTTGAGAAATCAGTGCCCATTTTCTACAGTCCAGTTGATATAATCACCATGTACCATTCATATAAGAAAATTATCTTTAGGACTAGATTCAGAAACTTGAAATGTAATCTTAAAAATGAAAAATAAAGCTGTGTATAATTTTTGAATGATTTAAAATACTCTATTTTAAAATGCTTGGATGCTCACAATTTTTCCTTTGTTTTCCATTGCAGGATAGTAAGAATCTTGCAGTAGTTGATGAAGTAAGTATTTGAAAACAGGGCTGGGCGTAGTGGCTCACGCCTGTAATCCCAGCACTTTGGGAGGCCAAGGCAGGTGGATCACCTGAGGTCGGGAGTTCAAGACCAGCCTGACCAACATGGAGAAACCCTGTCTCTACTAAAAACACAAAAAATTAGCTGGGCATTGTGGCACATGCCTGTAATCCCATCTACTCGGGAGGCTGAGGCAGGAGAATCGCTTGAACCCAGGAGGCGGAGGTTGCTGAGGCAGGAGAATCGCTGGAACCCAGGAGGCGGAGGTTGCGGTGAGCCGAGATAGCGCCATTGTACTCCAGCCTGGGCAACAAGGGCAAAACTCCGTCTCAAAAAAAAAAAAAAAAAAACAAACAAACAATAGAAGCTCCTTGTTATAGTTTGAAAAACACTGTAAGATTAGAATGTCCTTAGGAAAGCCAGATGGTTGTTTACTAAAGAAGCCTCAGAGGACAGTATTAACTTGGTAACTTTTACCCACAGCCCAGTCTTTCCAATGCTAACAAAATTGATTAGACTCATGTAAGATAACTGATGCTAATCAAATTCAGAAGAGATTAAAGCACACATGCCAGAATGGCACAGCTGGGGTTACATGTATCTAGTGACCTGAACATTACATGTCCCATTGGGGATATCTTGTTTCCAGTATCAGAACACATGGAAAGCCAAATTAATCATGTAAAATCATGCTGCTTAGTGAACATGGGATTGAAACAGAGATGGATAATTGCATGGGTTCATTCATTTAATGTACAACTCTCTAAGTGACACAAATATTTGTGCCATGTTGAGCCTCCCTAAATGAAGCTGAAATAATACTTCATCTTGTTCTTCGAGCTTTCCCTTTCCACACTCTAGGACAACTCTTCACCCTGCTATGTTTGCAAAAATCTCCATAAATAGGCTGTAATACCATTCCTTAAGTTTCCACTTACTGTATTATAATTATGTGTCAGTCCTTCTTTCACAAGGTGACAGTCACCTTCACTAGATTTGTAGGTACTCCAAAATACTTCAGGTTCAAATTCATATAAAATATTTTGGTTTATGTAACCAAGGATGACTAATCATCTCTCTTATGTGAAGTAGATATAATTAGCAGAATCATATCTACTACATTTCAGAAAGTAATGTAATTTTGTTTATTTCCAAATTTCAGTGATCCACTTCACTGATATCCCAAAATATTGCTAATGCTGCCTTGGAAAGAGGAACACTTTTGCCATTAGGTAAAAAGCAGTGAAAAGAAAATACAGAAAAAGGAGTAAGAGACACCAAAAGGGAGCAGAAGCAAGGGAAGTTTTTAAATCTTAATATATCTCATTATAGTTCTTTATTCATTCTTTCAAAGTACCTTTACTGGCTGGGCACAGTGGCTCACACCTGTGATCCCAGCACTTTGGGAGGCCAAGGTGGGCCAATCACCTAAGGTTAGGAGTTCAAGACCAGCCTGGCCAACATAGTGAAAACTCATCTCTACTACTTAGTCAGCGTGGTGGTGTGTGCCTGTAATCCCAGCTACTTGGGAGGCTGAGGCAGAAGAATCACTGAATCCAGAAGGCAGAGGTTGCAGTGAGCTGAGATCAAGCCACTGCACTCCAGCCTGGGCGGCAGACCGTCTCAAAAATAAAACAAACAAACAAAAAAACAAAGTACATTTACTGACAGCCTATTATGTACCAACTGCCATGCCAGGTGTTGGAAATACAAAGATAAGACAATTTCTGCTCCTAAACTCAGTCTTCTAATTGAGGAATATATTTATTCTTATAATAGAGCTATGAACAAACTGTTGTTATTGGGGGTTTCAGGGGAGGAGGAGGGCTCCATAAAGTGATATTCTGTTTGGGTCTTTTTATTTATTTTTATTTATTATTATTATTTTTTTGAGAGTCTCGCTCTGTTGCCCAGGCTGGAGTACAGTGGCAAGATCTTGGCTCACCGCAACCTCTGCCTCCCAGGTTTAAGTGATTCTTCTGCCTCAGCCTTCCAAGTAGTTGGGATTACAGATGCCCGCCACCATACCTGGCTAATTTTTGTATTTTTAGTAGAAACGGAGTTTCCCCATGTTGGCCAGGCTGGTCTCAAACTCCGGACCTCAAGTGATCTGCCTGCCTCAGCCTCCCAAAATGCTGGGATTACAGGCATGAGCCACCGCACCCAGCCCATGTTTGGGTCTTTTTAAAAAAGTACTTGACAGGTAAAGAAAAGGTTGATGGGCATCTTGGGTGTGGCAACTGCATGTAACTGTGAATGAGGATGACAAATCTGTGGAACTCTGAGTAGCACAAGTATTTTTGTATAGCAAGAGATGAAGCTGGAGAGATTATCAATGTCTATGCAGGTCATGCAGTATAGATAATGGGGACCCATCAGAGGTTTCAAAGCTGCAAAGCAGCCAGGGTCAATTGTGAGAAAACAGTTAGAAGCCAACAAAGATATGATGAAGGCTTACTATAAGACAGTGGCAGACGAGGTAGCTGAAAAAGCCATTGAGATGTATACTCAACAAAATTTAGTGGCTGACTGGACTGGGAGAGAGAAAGTGGGAAGAAACAAGGCTGATTTGAGTTTCCAGATTGGATCAAGGATGAACAGTGATGCTGCAAATAATAAAAACAGGGAATATGGAGGAAGGCCATGCTGGGTGGGACAAAGAGAAGATAACTTTGGTTGTAGACATGTTGAGTTAAAGATATCTGATAGACTCCTACATGGAGATAACAAGAGGGCAATCTGATCCAATCTAGAGCACAAATGAGGTTACAAAAATGTAACAATACTAACCAATCTGAAGACGATCAAGCTCTGGTGTGAAGAGTCCAGTGTGATAGATTTTTATCAAAAAATAGATGTATTTATTGTTGGGAAGAACTGGTTCCTTGAACTCTGAGAGTAAGGAACCAGATACAGGTGTATATGGCTTTACTATTTCTGTACCTAGAAAAAAAAATCACAGCAAAAAAATTAAACTCTAAAAATCCAAAAACCTCTTCATGAAGATGAAACGTCCAAATTTTATGATACCATCAGTATATATTTAAAACTATATACCTAATGGGTATATAATTCTAATGATTTTTCTATATGTATATAGTATATACGTATATATACCCCAAGCCTGTATGTGCCGAAACAATTTTCACAAATCAATATTGTACCCATAATATAAACAATGTTTTTATTATGTATAGTCTAATTTAATAGAAATATATGGTAATAAGTTTAGACAACCACCTATTCCATCAGCAAATAAACTTTGTAATGGGCCACAACAAAAACCGCATCAAAAATTTACCATGGAGATGTTAAAAAAAGTATTTACCTTATAATTTTAATTATACACCAAATTTTTAAAAATGGTTACTGATGACCAGTGGGATCATTTAGGGGAGAAAAAGGAAGAAATTTCACTTTTTACTTCACGTACTTTAAATTGTTTTAATATTTTAACATATTACATATTACTTTGGTAACTGAATAAAAAGAATGTTAATCCAGATACTTCTAAGAATATATTATTTTCTTAAAGAGTAAAATAAATAACTCATTTTATTTTAGGTAGCCAAATCCCAAAGAGAAGAATCATCACATGTTTGAAAGACCAAAAATTTTATGCATGGCTCCTTAATGTATACAAAATACATATATTAATTAAAATGCATTGGCAATAACTGGAGAAGATACCAGCTCTTGAATTAGGTAACCAGGCATTAGTGATGAAAAAGAGAAAACCAGCCATTAGTGACAAAAAACAGAAAACCTTAACAGTGCCTCATCATAATATATCTACTAAGACATAGCTGGTAACATTTTAGACAATTGCCGGAAACACTACAGCTGACAGGAGAATTTTACTGTTTGCAGCTTCAAAAGGCGAAGAAAATGTTGGACATCAATAACAAGGGTATTCAAAACAAGTAAGGTAAATTTAGGATAAAAATGAAAGAAAGAAGAATTCATATTTATACATTTATAGAGCTTCTTATACTGGTAGCACATAGAATAAAATCATTTCCAATCATTCGCTCATTTAAAATTTTATAGATTCAACTTCATAAATGATACAACCCTAAGTAGCTACTAAGAGACACCAGTATAAGCTTCTAGTAGTTGTCTTCATGGAAGACTATTTGTGCAGTCTCTCATCTCTTTCATTTAGGGTTTTGTCAGTCATAAATTACAATGCTGGTGGAATCATCTGTCTAACCTACTGGCAATATCTTTGTTCCACATGATAATATGGTCCAGCTATAGTTCCAACATGTAGAACACGTTGCAGTCACAAACCTAGATTCTGACTATCACTAAATCTAGCTGCCTGGAAACATTTATTAATAACGTAAATGGCTGTTTTCTAGAAAGAACAGTACTGATTTTGAACTGCTTATAAAAGAAGAAAATGTGTCCCAAAGCCTCTATTCACCTTACCTGTAATAGGTAGCTTGAGGTAAACATGTTGCCCAATGGGCACTTGAAGATGAGTGCTTGGTGGCAGCATCAAACAGAAAAGCCTCGTATCATGAGTAACATTTTCCTTGGAAATTAACTGGCACTTTCTGTAGTACAAACCTAAAAAGTGATTCATTTTCTCTTATTGATACATAAATTAATAAGAAGTAATACTAAACCACTAAGAGAAAGCACACACTCAGCTTCTGTTTTCTAGAAAGCTTCAACTTCACTAAAATGCCTATACATTTAAAAAATTAATCAATATTTTAAGGTTAATTTTTCCATTTTATTTCCTGAGATATCTGTTGACCAAGACCTGTAAATACTTCTATAACTTGAAAGATGAACTTAATGAGTGTTATTTCCTCACATCTGTTATTATAGCATGTTAAACCATTATGTTCTAAAAAAAAAAAAAAAAAACACCCTAATTTTATTTGATAATGAATAAGTTTACATTGTAAAGTCTTTAAAAAAAATTTTTTTTTTAAGAGATGAGGTTTCACTATGTTGCCCAGGCTAGTGTCAAACTTCTGGACTCAAGCAATCCACCCACCCTGGCTTCCCAAAGTGTTGAGATTACAGGCATGAGCCACCGTACATTCTAAAATCTTTTCTTACACAATGGAAAAGTCCTGAAGCTCAAGCCTTTAAGGCTTAACAACAGTAGCACTATTAAGCAATTTTAGAATATCTCTTTGACAAAGGCAAGAAGATATACATTCTTGTGTCTCTATGTTTGTGTGTATGTATTTTATATATATGATTAGAGAACATTTTAACTGTCACAAAATGATTAAAATAAAAATTTTTATGCTTAAAGGTGTAGGTTTTGGCATCTGGAAAATTAATACAAGTGAAAAGCTGAAGATGGTAGGATTAGGATTATGGTACTAATATACAAATAGATAAAAAGAATCAAATATTTTTATAAATACTAGAGAAATTTGAAATTAATATCCCAAGCTCAGAAAATATTGTTTGTATACAGAGCAAATAATACCATTTGAATTAGAAGAATTTATTATAGAAGTTCTGAAATAATTAAGATTTTCACTTGTACATTCTCTTTGAACATAAATAGCACATCAGAATAATGTGAAGATATTAACTTTTTATTTCCTCTCTCAAAATAGTATTTACAGAGATGTAAAGGAATAAACCCTGATAATATATTTCTTATTCTAGTTATTCTCTTTTTTTAACCCAAAAATATTCAAGTAGGTGCAGAAATATTTTCTCCAGATCTTAGAAAGTGAAGAGCCAACAGCTAATAATCAACGCTTAGTGGAAAACTGAAATTCACATATAATCCTAAGAAATCATTTTAGTCACAAGTGAATCCAACTTCCCTTCTCTCTTTTGCTCCCCACAGATCAGTCACTCAATTTTCCACCTGCTATCATGGTAGCAGTAAGTATATAAGCTTAGACTACACCACTTTATGCAAAGACCCTGGAGTATCACTAGAGGTCACCTCACTCTAGTGCCAGGGCACAAGTTTGGACCAGATTACGGCTAATAGTCCACCCTAAAGTTATCCTAGAAGGCCTAACAAGCACTGGCCTAACCAAAGGGTCAAAGGACATAGGCCCATGCACAAAGAGAAATGAAGGTGCAAATGATCTCTTTATTTCTTTTTCCAGACCCTTTCTGGAACCCACAGTAAGAATACAACTAGAGACCCACACACTATATACATGTAAATATTTAACAGTTATAAATCGGACAAATAACTGTCAAAGTATGTTCTATGCTATATCTTGAAATATACAGCTTCACAAGGTCCTAGAAGGCTAGGTTCAAATTTGGGATTCTTAAACTCCTCAGAATATCAGTGAAATGGCAGAGGAATGAGACCTGCACTCCCACTGCCTGCCCCCATTGTCTTTTCATCCTTGGCTGTCTGACTCTGAGTAGGGGCTTAAATGGGTATGGATACATTAACCCACAGGCTCAAGCTCATGCACTAGCTTTTCACATAAACAGCCCTGGCCACTCCTTGGATAGAAGTAGATTTGGGGTCGTTTGGGCAGGGAATTCCATGGTTCTAGATACCTAGAGGGTGAAGTTGAAAGAAAGAGGATGAGCTCCAGGTGGATACTTCGTGGTCTTGTAATACTCCTTACCTTGTGGGAGGGGTATGGCTGTGGCTGGAGATAGTCATGTGGGGCTCTCCAAGTGTGGAACCCAGGGCAGGTGCCCTTCTTGCGCAGGTCTAAGGACCACAGTGTTGTTTTCTTCTAATAAAATCTAGTGCATATCATTTTGATAACTTTACAGCTAGATGAAAATGCTCACCTTCTGGACTGACAATTTCTACTCTAGCATTTGCTAGAAAAGTTTGCTATAGTAACTATGCAACTCTCCAGTGATATTTAAAACACAAGGAAATACTGGGTTACAGTGATTTACTGACTTTCCTTGTTAGAGAGTTGACACAGCATTCTTGTTATTTAACACTACTGAGATAATTTCAATGTTTTACCCACAAAAGGCTGACTATAATTTCAAAAGAACATCCTAACTATAGGTTCTAAGAATTTTAAGACAGTCTTCATCTTTCAATTGCATCAAGGAGAAAGATAGCACAGACAGATGGGAACTGCAGTATATAAGATAAGAAAAAAGTATAAAGCAGATGGCACTAACTACTTCAGTCTGCACAATGCCATTATTTAACTGTCAGCTTTTTGGCTTTCTAAGCACAGGTAATTATACTAAAAAATGAGAAACTGAAAACAAAGACAGTAAAACAAAAACAAGACAAAAACATTACTGCCCCAAATACCTAACTTATTTGAATTAAATACATACAATTAATATTGAGATACTCAGGGTAAGGCTGAAATACTGAGGATAATAAGACTATTTGAGCATACTTTTTTCTTAATGTTAAAAAGAAACTGTATTTTCCCTTTTAAAAAATAGAATTTCACAAGGCCAAAACAGAAAACACAGGTAAAGTCTTCAATGGGAGACAGAAGAGAAAGAGAAGACTGCACTAGGAGTCCACACTGCCTTCAACTGGCTTCTCCTTCTTGCACTTTTGAAGCACTTAGTTACTCTTACTTTCCCTGCTGGAAACAGAAGCTTATAGAAGTTAAAAAGCTTGTCCAACATCTCAGGGCATCTAGAAAAGATGTGGGATGGAGTAAGAAGCTATTAGGGTTTCTTGTCCCAACTCAGTAGGCCTTGTTTAAAAAGTTTGAGAACATGATTAGTAATTATTAGTAGCCAATCACTATAGACAAGTTGTGGATGCAATGGAAAAGCTCTCGAAGGAAATTTAAAGTCCTACTTCAGTGAGCACATGAATGATATGATAACAAAGCAAAATAGCCTTATTGCTGATTTGTAGAAAGTTTGAGTGGTCTGGATAGATGAAACCAGCCAGAACACTCCCTTAAGCCAAAAACCTGATTCACAGCAAGGTCCTAACTCTCTTCAATTCTAGAAGGGCTGAGAGAGGTGAGGAAGCTATAGAAGCAAAGTCGGAAGCTAGAAGAAGTTGGTTTATGAGGTTTAAAGAGAGAAGCTATCTTCATGACATACATCTCCACCAGAGTTCTTGGGTGACTAGGTGCATTGTCAATGAATGACAACAATTCGAAAGGTATCTTTTTTTTTCCACATAGTAAGTCTCAACAGTGGGCTTCAAATATAGAAGTTTCACCATTCTAGATGCCATTAAGAACATTTGAGATTTATGGGAGGCAGTCAAAATAGCAACATTAACAGGAATTTGAAAGGTGATTCCAATTCCCACGGATGGCTTTGAAGGGTTCAAGACTTCAGTGGAGGAAGTAACTGCAGATGTGGTGGAAATACAGCAAGAGAACTAGAATTAGAAGTGGAGCCTGAAGATGTGACTGAATTGCTGCAATCTCATGATAAGACTTGGAACAGATGAGGAATTGCTTCCTAGGGATGAGCAAAAAATGTGGGTTATTGAGATGGAATCTACTCCTGGTAAAGATGCTGTGAAATGTTGTGGAAATGACAACAGATAATTTAGAATGATACATAAACTTAATTGATAAAACAGCAACAGAGTTTGAGAGGACTGACCCCAATTTTGAAAGCAGTTTTATTGTGAATAAAATGTTATCAGAGAATCTTTTGTGAAAGAAAGGGTAATCGATGTGGGCAATCTTCATTTTTTCTTAAGAAATTACCACAGCTACCCCAACCTTCAGCAACCACCACCCTGATAAGTCACCAATCATTAGCATCGAGGCAAGACTCTCCACCAGCAAAAAGATTATGATTCACTGAAGACTCAGATGATTGTTAGCATTTTTTAGCAATATATTGTTTTTTAAATTAAGATGTGTAAGTTGTTGTTTAGACATAATGGTATTGCATACCTAACAGACTAAAGTATAATGTAAATATAACTTTTACATGCACTGGGAAACCAAAAAAATGGTGTGACTTGCTTTATTGTGATACTCCATTGCGATGGTCTGGAACCCAACCCACAACATCTCCAACATATGCCTGTAAGTGGCTGTTCACATATCAAAATTGTGAGACCTTTCTTTTTTTTTTTAATCTTGTTTCCTAAGACAATTGACTGGGTTATTTGTTGGCAAATCTTTAAAATTACCTTGGTTTGGTGATCCAAGATTCCACATTAAAGACAATTATCAATTAAGATAAAAATGCTAATGTTACCTTGTATATAGAAATAGCAATTCAATTATCTATTGATTTCTGACCCTTATTAGAGAAGTTCCTCAGCCATCTCTTTCTCTATTGCTTTCTCTCCCCCTGCCTCTTTCTCCCACATAACCCCCACAGCTACTCACTCATAATCTTCATTTCCGGGAAGAAAAAAATTAATTGGAAGCATCACACTTATAAATTATATGGGTTCAATTCATACAATTTAAAATATTGACCTACTACATCTGGATTGAAGGTAAAAATGAAAGTTTCTCTTCTCTGGTTGATGTTCTTTCTGATATATGAATCCTTCATGTAAGGATCTTCTAGATTTGACACGAGAAAACATTATATTAAAAGTTTTTCAACTTATATGCTTGTTTTCAAATTCTTTTAGCTAAGAAAGTAGTAAGACACAGCCAGCATACTATTGTCATAAAGTCAATAATTACAGCAATACATATTGAAAATCTAGGAACCACATAATTGGCTGTAAATCTTTAAGGCTACTCAAAGCAAGTTAATTATAATATTTTGCTGATGTAATCATTCGGCTTTGCTAGTGAATAAAATAACCTACAGTTTTTGTCATGATTTAAGGAGAAGAAAGGAGAAAGATGAAATTATCTTTGTTAATGCAGTGAAACAAAAATATCTCCTAAACTCCAAGTCATTTTCCAAAGTGGAAAACCTTCACTGAAAAACACATTACAGCTCCAATTTCAACCAAGAAAGCTAAACCTTTCTTTTTTTATGGTGGTTCAGGATTCAAGAAAAAATTTACAGCAGAAATAAAAGAATGGAAATCCTCAAGAAATTACAGAGAATATCCGAATGATGGTTGTTCTAACTAGTTATTTCCAAATGGAGGTCAGCCCAAGTTCTCAGTATCATTTATTTCTTGGACTTGGCTTTTACCTGGTTTGCTATGATTTTTCAATCACTAGATAAGAAAGATAATTTCAGGGAAAGAGATTTCACCCTAAAAATACCTTTTCATTTCCATTGTCCCTTTTCTATTCTTTTCTGATCTGCTATATCACACTATCATTTCTCTATGTCCTCTCTCCTTACCTAATACCAAAAAATTCAGACCTCTTGCTCTGGTAAAATTAACCCATTAGAACTTTCCTACATGCCACTTACATTTTTCTCTCTCTACATCTAACAAAATGCCTGGCCTAATATGCAACCAGTAATGACCTGTAGCTCTACCTGGAAAGTCCAAAATAGTTTTTTGTTTTTTTCTGAAAGCCATGGACCTCACTTTGAAAATACTGCTTCAAATTCACTTCCTTGAGGCAGTCATTCAAGGCCAAATTCATCTGTATCTATTCACTTGGGGCTACCACAAAACATGTTTAGTTTGTACTGTATAACTTATCCTTGTCAGCCTATTTCCTTATAAAAGTGTTCTTCAATTTCATGTTTGCTTATTTTCTATCTTCCACGTGGGAAACTAAATTTCCCATACTCTTTGTTTCATTCCACAGTGCCTAAAACAGTCTTCTACACACAAGATGTACTCAAAATAAGGCTGCCTCATGCTTTTCTGAAAATTAGCTACAAATATATTTTCATAAGTGTGAATTAAAAAGAAATACTGGTCTGTGTCCCTGGTTCCTGACACACAACTCCTAAAATCCTTGTAAACAGAGACACTAAAAGAATCTTCTGTTCTAATATTTGGTCTTTAACCCTGGTTCCTGACACTAAGCTCCTAAAATTTTTTGTAATTTCCTAAGTACTGTAAGTGTCTTAACAGAATTCCGAAATCCCTGCAATTTCCTGGGTGATAGAAGCATCTTTTGTTCTAATGGGGAGACTCCTGGTAGGCTCCCGGATAGCCTCAAGATGGGACCTGTCTGCCTGGGAAACCAACCATGTGATTAAAGGATTGGAACCTGCAGCCCCCTTCCTAGACCTCTGAGGACAGGACAGGCTGAAGGTTAAGCTGCTCACCAATGGTCAATGATGTAGTCAATCACACCTACATAATAAAGCCCCCATAAAAACCCAAAATGACATGGTTTGAAAAAGCTTGTGGAAAGCTGAACACATGAAAATGTTTGGAGGATGATGCAATCACTGAGGTCATGGAAGCTCTGTGCCCCTTTTCACATATTTGCCCTACGCATTTCTTCCATCCAGTTATTTACTTGTATCCTTTGTAATATCCTTTATAGTAAAATAATAAACTTACATGTTTCCCTGAGTTTTGTGAGCCATGCTAGCAAATTTTTGAACCCAAGAAGGAGGTTGTGACAACACTGATTTATAGGTGGCTGGTCAGAAGCATAGGTCACAACCTGGAATTTGCAACTGGCATGTGAAGTAGGGGGCAGTCTTGCGGGACTAAGCCCTTAACTTGTGGGGTCTGCCCTAAACTCCAGGATGTATCAGACTTGAGTTAAATTGTAAGACAGACAGTTGGAGTTGCTGTAGAATTGGTTGTTGGTGAGAAGAAATTTCACATTGTAGTGTTCTGAGTTGAGAAGTAAGACTAGGAAAAAGTTTGTTTTTTCCTATCTCATGCAATAAATTATATATGATAATTTTATATATTTAAAGAAGATAAACTGAATACATGCAGTTAGTTCCTTCTGAATCCCCTAAAACAACAAGAAAAAGGGTTTTTGCATGTGTGTTTGATTTTTAAGGCATAAGCCCACACAGACAGAAAGAATGGAAATCAGAGACAAAGGCAACAAACTTCAGGAGCTGACAAGGCAGAGAGAAGACTGGTAAACGACTCAACAGACTAAAGATAGCTGAATGCTAAGCCAGAAGTGTAGAAAGCCAAGAACCAACATACTTATAATACAAAATTCCTTTAAGGCTCAGAAACTGGCAGGACTAAGTACCTCTGGCATCAGAGTCAAGAATTAAAATTACTTTCTCAATACAAGTTCATTTAAGAAGCTTGGATAGGTCTTCCCATCCCCTTGAAGTCCTCCCTACTTAGCACAGCCACATGACTGACACTTCCCCATATCAGCAAAATATAAGAAGTTTGCGCTCTAGAGGGTAAACAAGGGGTCTCTGGATTGGGTCTATGCTATAGACTGAATTGTGTCCCCTCGCCAAACACATATGTTGAAATCATAACCCCCAGTACCTCAGAATGTGACGATATTTGGAAACGGGGTCTTCACTTAAAAGGTAATTAAGCTGGTTCTAATTCATTGTGACTGGTATTTTTATAAAGAGAGGACATTAGGACACAGACACACAGAAGGAAGACCATTTAAAGAAACAGGAAAAAAGGAGGCCATCTACAAACTAAGGGAAGAAGTCTCAGAAGAGACTAAGTCTGCCATAGACACTTAGTCTGTAGTAGTTTGTTACTGCAGTCCTAGCAAACTAATACCATATTCTAAGAAAAAAAAAAAAAAGAAAGAAAATTAAGTGACGCTTACAGATATACCAGAAGCTAGGCCCAGCCTTCTTCCCCACATGGCTTCTGAAATGCTGGGTACAAGGTAGGAGATTGTTCACTCTAGGGACTCTTGGCTTTGGACTTTTCCCAAAGAAATGTTCCAGCCATATAGTGAATATAACCGTTGGCAAGCCACACCCACATGCACAGTTTCCAATTAGTTTTACAGTCCTACCCTGAAATATGAGCAGATAGTAAAAGATTAGGAAACATTCAAAGAAAGCATTTAATATTAAAGACACTATAACAAACAAAAAACAACGAACCTGAGGGACACAGAAGTTATACAGTGAGAAGAAAACATTACCAGTCATTCTTTAAAAGATAAGCTAATAAGAATAGGATGCTAAAACAAAGGAAAAGAAATCAAAGGAGTTACAGAAGTTAAAAATATGAGTAGAAATGAGTAACTCAATAGAAGAGCCAGAAGACATAGCTGAAGACATCTCCCAGAAAGTAGAACAAAAGGACAAAACTGAAAATAAGAGAGAAAAGATAAGGTAATTAGAAGACTAGTTAAGGAAGTTCAATATGTAGAAAGTAAAACAGACCATGGGGAGAAGTAAAACCAATAATAGTTTCCAAGAACTGAAGGTCATACGTTTCTATATTGAAAAGATTAGCACAAAAAATGTATGCCCAGTAAGAAGGATAAAGAATCATCCATGTTCTGGCACATCATTGTGAAAGTCCAAAACACTTAGAACAAGGAGTAAATACTACCAATTTCCAAAGAGAAAATATAGGATATGTTCATTTTGCAAAATATCATCAAGTAGAGCACTTCTAATATGCACCCTTTTCTATATATACGTTAAACTTAGATAAAAAGCTTTTTAAAAATGAAAAGAAATGAATGGTACTATCTTTTAGAAAAGATATGGTTTGGATCTGTGTCCCCATCCAAATCTTAGGTTGAATTGTAATCCCCAGTGTTGGAGGCAGGGCCTAGTTGGAGGTGACTGGAGCATGGGGGCGGATCCTTCATGAATGGTTTAGGAACACCCTCTTGGTGGTGTTCTCATGACAGAGTTCACACAAGATCTGGTGTTTAAAACTGTGTAGCACCTCCCCCATCTCTCTCCTCTTCCTTCTCCAGCCATGTAAGATGTGCCTGTTTTCCCTTCACCTTCTGCTATGATTGTAAGTTTCCTGAGTCCTGCCCAGAAACCAAGCAAATGCCAGCACCATGCTTCCTGTACAGCCTGTAGAACCGTGAGCCAATTAACCTCTTTTCTTTATAAATTATCCAGTTTCAGGCATTTCTTTAAAGCAATGGGAAAAGAGACTAATACAAAAAGTAAACTGAGAAACTAGTTTAATTAAGAAGAAAAACATATCTTCCTCAATAGGAAAAATATCAAGCAGACATACAAAGCATAAACTTAAACTTGTTTTTGTATCTTCACAAAAGGGGACCTGAAAGAGTAAATGGTTGATCAACAGTCTAAGCACAAGTGGCCTTCTCCATTCAGGTATCATTATGTAATGACTTCACTACGCCTACACATTAGATAGTAGAGTCTGAAATTTACTTCTACGGGAAAAAAAAAGCAGGACAACAGACACAATGTCCCTTTCAAACTTCCTAGAGATAGATACAAGGGTCCTTCAGCTCATTTCAAAGCAGCCTTCCAAACTCTGGTACATCTGTACAACAATTTCATGAATGTGAAATTAACATAACAAAAGAACACAGCATACCTGTATCTTTCCTTGGAATAAGTGAATTATGATTCTCCAGGGGATGGCCAAGAAAGTCCCAAGAAGTATTCTCTTTTTTTTTAAGAACAATCTCTATTTTTCCCACACTCTCAACAACCCGCACTGAAAAGAAGATAAATTCCATTTGTATTCATTGATATTAAATACAAGATTTTATTTTAAAACCAGTATTTCTCAAATAGTACAAATGTCTTGATCCAATATGAATGGTACTGATTATTAGTGGGATAAATAAGATTCTGTTTACGTATTCAATCACAATCATAATTGTTTATGCTTTATATGCTTTAATTTACTTTATTAATAGATTCAGATTAACTTCTTTCAAACTAATTTATTAAGGGTCAAATTACTATGTGTTGCTGGTTTTCATACAAGCTCAAACATAGCCATGGCAACTAACTGACATAAAGTTTAAAAAAAAAAAAAAAAAGGGCTGAGATGTACAAATTAGTATCGAATGCCCCCACAAAAGCAAATTTAATTTGCTTTTTAACATTCCTTAGTCAGAATCTGAAGGATTCTTATGAGTAAATTCAGTAGACTAATACCGAGTCTAATAAACACAAGAAGAGCCTCATGAGAATGAGGTCCTAGTAAATACAGAGTAAATTGATAAAGTGCATGTGAATCTTTGATAAAAATATTTTAGATTACCTTTTTATTGAATAATTAAAATGTTTATAATATATGGGTATAATAATAAAATATATACTTTCATATGCTGATTTAAATTTTATGAATTGAACATGCTTTTAAAGATTTAAAGCATATTTAATTTTTCTTCAGAAACAATGTTCTGCTCTCCCCCACTGTGAACACAAAATCCAGTAACAATTTAACAACTTTTAAAGACAGATGGATCAAATGAATTCAATTTGATGAGCACTGACTTGAAGTTTAACCAAAATAAAAACATGGTCTTTGTCTTTAAAGAGCCTGATTTATATAATTTGCAGAGCCTATAATGATATATGGAAAAGAGGAAACACTGGACCAGCATAAGGTACCAAAACAGTACTTGAAAACAAGAAAATACCATTCTATGATGAGTCTTCTATTATTAAATAGCTGTGTAAAACCTACGCTGCATGTTTATATGCAGCAATATTCATAATTTAGTATGCTCTTTATTGAACATTTAAATATATAGATGAAAGAAAAATTTTGCTAATACAGTATATTTCTTTTTTCTTTTTCTTTTTTTTTTTTTTGAGATGGAGTCTCACTCTCGCCCAGGCTGGAGTGCAGTGGCACAATCTCGGCTTACTGCAAGCTCTGCCTCCTGGGTTCACGCCATTCTCCTGCCTTGGCCTCCCAAGGAGCTGGGGCCACAGGCGCCCGCCACCACGCCAGGCTAAGTTTTTGTATTTTTAGTAGAGACAGGGTTTCACCATGTTAGCCAGGATGGTCTCGATCTCCTGACCTCACGATCCTTGGCCATATAGTATATTTCTACAAGCTGCATGTCAGGAGTAGGGCAGATATGAGGAAAGAAGAATAAAAAGGAGACAGAATGTGTGTGTGTGTGTGTGTGTGTGTTTTTTAAGGAGGAAAAAAAAGAAAGGTTAAAGAGATAAAAAGAATAAGGGGGTCCAGCCAGGGCAACATGGTGAAACCCCATCTCTACAAAAAAAATTAGCCAGCTGTGGTGGTGTGTGTGCACTGTGATCTCAACTACTCAGGAGGCTGAGGTGGGAGGATCACTTGAGCCTGGGAGGCAGAGGTTGCAGTGAGCCAAGATCGCACTGCTGCTGTCCAACCTGGGTGACAAAGTGAGACCCTGTCTCGCACACAAAAAAGGAACAAGCGGGAAGAAAAAATAGGAAAAAGCCTGAAACCAGAGGGAGGGGTATATTTAAAAATTAATGTATTTGTATCTGTACAACAAACCCCCATGACACACATTTACCTATGTAACAAACTTGCACATCCTGCACATGTACCCAGAACTTAAAAGTTTAAAAAAAGAGAGAGAACATCATATCTTTGTTTTGCAACATGAAAATACACATATGAAAAATGAAACACATGCTAATTTTTCAATTTTTCTTCTCTCTCTCTCTCTCTCTGTAGGTATGTGTATATGTACACACATACGTAATTTTTGGTTTTTGGTAGCTTACCAGAAAAATCTTCCTGAACCTCATGGCTTAGCCCTAGGACAGACAAATTTATTTAGTTAAAATAGAACTTCAATTCATACAGTTTTTGAACACCATATGTCATTTAAATGGCTCTTTTATGAATTATTTCAAATCCCTCAAGACAAATAAAACATGTTCTGAGAGACCCAAACAAAGAAATTGTACACAATCAAAATGAAGATTCAAATTATTTAAATATATATATTTTCAACTGTTTCAATTTTCTCCCTTTTAACTAAAGAGCAAATACTCAATTGCCCACAAGTGGGTAACCCACACTAGTCCAAGCATGGATGGTTCCAGACTGGGAATTCTACAAACCAAGAGAGGAGCAGGCTAGGGAGAGGCAGCACCTAAAGCACGCAAGCCCCAGAGTGCGTGTGTGTGTGTGTACACAGGCCAGGTCTGGGTCTAGCTTACCTTTTCTTATTGTTCTCCAAAGTTGATTATCCATTCAATTATTGAAAAAAATCTTATTGAGCATCTACATGTGACAGGTATTTTCTAGGTATTATGGACACAACAGTTAATAAGACAGAAGAATTTCTGCCCCTATGGAACTTATACTCCAGAAGGGGGAGATGCAAGAAATATGCTTACAAATGTCTGCTATGCATTTCACTGTGTTCATATGGTTATCTGGAATTTACAATTTTGCATTATTTCAGTCCTTTCAATGCAATACTAGCACCTGAGAGTTTCATATTTTTAACTGTGGAATTTTTAGTTTTTTAAAATATGTGTGCTAGTGTAGGGTTCCCTGGTTTCTAACACTTTTTTCTCTGTCCTGATAAAAAAAATACAAAGTTGGTCTTTAGCCATGAAGGGATGGACAGCTGGAAGATACAATACAAATTTGTAGTCCAGGCTGCTTTGCTGCAGCCACTGACTTCCTGTGGCAGAGCTGGTAAGGAACAGGCCAGTGGAACGGGCCATCTAGTGAAGGACAGTCAGTAGGACATGTGACCATTGAGTCTTGGAAGACTTCTTATAGGTGTCAAGTATGAGAGATTTTACAAAGCTGGGCCAACAAATATTTTACATTATTGATTTTGATTGCATCTAATTGCTTAAACTTGGAATTTAAGCATCTAATTGCTTAAACTGCCACTGCTAGTACTTTTATTAGTGTAAAGAAATTACAGGAAAAAAACTGATCAAAAATGACTAACCAAAATGGTAACAGCAGATAAAATATTAGAGTTGCCTAGACTGTAGACCAAATTATTGCCATATTTAAAGAAAACCAGAGCTCTTTCCGTTAATAATGATAAAGTACTCACCAATATGTATAAGATATAAACAATCCTTAATAATTGTTTCTGCTCTAAAGGAATCATCCTGATGATCAACTATTATTGAGTCTAAATTGATATCCTTAAACAGAAAGAAACAATAGAAAGATTAGAAAGTAAAAATTTCCCCCAAACTTCTACAACTATACTTCTAAGGTGATTTGTGGTAGTTCACATGGTGCTTCTTTATTGGACCTCCAAGCTAAACAAATGTGACTTCTGTTTTTCTCCCTTACAATCCAGTTCTTCTCCTTCAACAGACATATCAAAATTTTAATTACTACATATCCGTCTCTGTTTAATACCTACCTTACCCACTCATCTCTAAGCTCTAAGGTTAAGGGACTATCTTTAGAACACTGTTTGGCACCTAGTAGGTGCTCAATAAATATTTTTTGAATAAGCAATATGGAATCCCCCCACCCCCTAGAAAATAACAATCAGAGCAGAAACCAACTTATTTTTGTTCATCTTTATCTTTTCTGTAATGTATGATCCTGGGCAAATTACATAACCTCTTGACCTTAGCTTATAAAAAAAAAAATCAAATCACTAACATATTTTTAGGTGTCTCTAACTTCTACATAGCCTTGGTGTAAGCTATATATTATTTATATTATTCACTGAATACATTATTCCACAAGGAAACCTTTTCTTTTCCCTTAGCCATCCATCCTCTCTGTCCCATTCATATTACCAATGCAAGTGGACCTTCCTAGAGCCTGTGCTCTGGGTTTTGAACTGTGTAATGAAAAGACAGTATCAAGAGAGAGTGGAAAACAGAATAAGTAGTGCCTCTGGCCCTCTTGGCTCTTTCCAGGCAGAGGCTGGTCACTCCTGCAGAATGGCCAAATCATGCTGCAAGAGTCAGAAGAACCCACTGGTTCAGACATGGTTCTGCTACTATAGAAGTAGCATGAATTCTCAAAAATTCCTAGCTGCCAGAACTTGTCTTTAAATCTACATATCCCTCAAAGTGTGGGAACCTCAACAGTTGCTGGAGGATGTGCTTGGAGATATTTTAAATTGTATGCATATTTATCTGATTTTCCAGTTGGACTGTAAGCCTTTTTGAAAGTCAGGTCTCTAAGTATCTGGTCTATCATTAGATCCCTGATATCTAAGGCTGTGTTCTACATGAAACAGGTTATAAATACTTAATGAACTATCTCCCTAACTTTAGTTTCAATGGTGAATGAATTACCTCCCTAACTTCAGTTTCAAATGGGGATCCGAACACCATTAGTGGTTTAAACATACTAAGCCACAGCCACAGCAAAATACCTTCTCCAATCCCAGTTTATGTCTAGGAAATTTGTTCTTATGGTGAAGTTAACTGATATTCATTTTTTGTTATCCATACTTTACACACACACACACACACACACAGAAAAACACATAAAATACTTCCTACTCTGATTTTTAAGAGGCTATAGGAATGGCTGTTAAGAGCAGATGCTCTGGAACCAGACTGCCTGAGTTCCACACGCCAGATTTGCCACTCAGTGTCTAACTATGGGTGAATTACTTAACCTTTTCTTTGTTTCCTCTTCTGTACAAAAGGGATAACAATACTATCTACCTCAAAGAACTGTAATGAGAAGTAAATAATATAAAAAAGTGTTTAGAAAAAGACCTGGTACATAAAATTAACATTTATTATTTACTTCTTTTCTGATTTAAAAGACATATTTACCTTCTGTTTAGTATATATGGCAATGGTGACTAAAGAGTTTGTTTGGAACCAATCATAGCTGTAAAATATAAAGAAAAGGATGAATAATTATATTGACAATCATGTGCATTAACACATATTAATCATTAAATGTTTAAAATTTATAGTGAGACATATCTGTATTTCTCTAGGTTAAGCTTTTTTTCTAAATAAACAGTGGTCTTACCATGTTACATTCTTCATTATACAGCTGACAACTATTTCTAAATTTAAAATATCTATACTTCCATGTATTCCCACTTGAATAAAAACAAAATATCCTCAACAAGACACTTTTTATAAAGGTTACACATCTCTTTACTAAAATCTTCTTTTATCAGAGCAAAATCAAAACATATTTTGTTAAAGAGTATGAAAAAATGTACCTGTTTATTATCTTCATTTCTCCCTGTCACAGATATATTAGTACTGAAGAAATGAACTCATCAAGGTTGTTTAATGGGTCCATAGTAAAACTTAAAGTAAAACTAAGTCTTCTGTTTTGTTACAGCTATTGATCAAATTGATACTCTTTTTGCACTTATCACCTATATAGGCAAATCTATAGGGAGCATCCTTAGTCCCTAATTTAAAATTTTATATCAAATAATTTAACAAATATAGCAGGATGCTGACGTTAGAATAATACAGACTGGTGGTGTGGAGAAAAGGGATAAGAGAAAGAACTACAGAGAACACACCTGAAGGCATTTTAAGTGTCACTAACAAGATACATGTGTATTGCCTAAGTTACTATTAACTGTTTAAGACAACTGTTGGGCAATACATTCTGAAAAATTCCCATTAAAAATTGATAAAAATGAACTAGATATATAAAAAAAAGAATATTTAAATACATTATGGCATGGTCATATGATGGAATGAAGAGAAAAAATGCTTTCGCAGAAAATTTAATGGCATAAAAAATGCTCATAGAATATACTGTCATACCAATATTATAAAAACAGAATAATATGGAAGTAGGTATTATATTAATCTAACTGGAAAATATAAATAATAGTATATAACTAAGGATGGTGAGATTACAACTGATTTTATCACTTTCTTTTGTATTTGTATTTCTCTATATTTTCTAAGTTTTCTACCATTAATGTATTTTTTATAATCAGAAAAATATTTTAAAATAGTTTTTTAAAGTACTGGTGTTTAAAATGGATCAAACTTCAGTTATATTTAAAATTCACATTTATGGAACAGCTCATTCTCTAACAACATCTCCAACAACATCTAATAAACAGCTCATTCTCCAACAACATTACAGTTCTCATGTCAAAGATGCATGACTAACAGTAAGCGATAAATCAAACCCAGAGCTACTTTATTTTTTAAATGTGTACATTTTTGTATATAATTGATTTAACTTCGAAAATTTTAAAGAAGAATGCATACCTTGGATAACTAGGACCTTCTTTGGCAAGTGTATCTGTCACTTGGCTCTTGGGAAGCATGCCTTTACAAAGAAAGATAGCTATAGTTCATCTACAAAGTATTTTCAATATTTTGTCTTTTTAGTTAACATCTTATTGAAATATCACATATATTCATAGAAGGATACAAATCACAAATGTACTACTCAATATATTTTCACTTGATCTTAGCCAGAAGGCCAAGATAAAGCAAAACATACCCTTGCAGTCAGCACTCTCTTCATGCTCCCTTTTCAGTCACCACCCCTGCCTCAAGAGTAACATGTATTCTGACTACTAATACCATGGTTAGTATTTGCCTGTGTTTGATCTTCATATAAGCAGAATGATACATTCTCTTTTAGTTCTGGCTTTTTGTCCAATATTCCAGACATTACAGTTCTTATGTGAAATAAGCATGATTGATAATAAGCAATAAATCAAATCTAGGCTTTCTGAAATTTTATCCATGCTACTGAATTCATCAGTAGCTTGGTCCTTATTGTAACTGAGTAGTAATACATTATATGAATAGTTCACAATTTACTCATTCTTCTGTTGATGAACATTCAGGTTGTTTCCAGTTTGGAGCTGTTATACACAGTGTTGATATAAATATTCTTTTACAGGTACATGCATATTCTTAAAGAACACATATCTACTCTTTTGGTTAGTATGAAGGGTGTTTGTATGTTTAGCTTTAGAAGATACTACTGAGCAGCTTTTCAAAGTGGTTGTACCAGCTGCTCCACAATCTCACCAATATGTGGTTTCTATCTTTTCCATTTTACTCACTCTTGTGGGTTTGTATCCTTGTGGGTATGCACAACTACAAAATGCATCTTGGGTGTATGATGCAGTTTAAAAGCCCACTAAAGCTATGGTTTTTAAATCATTTCAGAAAACTGAGATATGGAAGAACTCAAGATATTGCAAACATTAAGTATTTCCCTCCTACAACAGGAGTGCATTGTTTGTATATGGTAAGATTTAGTTTGGAAAAAAGTAGTACTGCTGCTACCTGACTTTTGAAAATCATTGCATCAATTATATTACTATTTCTCAAACTATACAGGAACAAAATTAATGGTTAGTATCTGCTGAATCTTGGGTGCACAAATTAGAAATCACAGTATTTTATATAAATTTAAAAGTTGCAAGATACCTTTGGGACAAGACAGTTTAGAGATTTTCAAGATTCTTTTTAGACACAAACCTTCAAGACAAGCTCAAGTGCAAGCAAGATGTAAAACAGTCATATTTTTCTGAACAGGCTGATGGTGAGCCCTGAGTCCAGGCCTTACTCATTCAGCTTCCATTTCTTCCCACATAACCCTGCAGAATACTATTTTCAGATAAACAAAGGAAGCCTCAGGTATGTGACAACAAGGTCAGAGTTGTCAACTAATAATTAGCAGTGGGCACTAAAAGAAGAGTGCTCTACTACAAAACCGCAGGTAAAACAAAAGAGGACTACAAGAATTAAATGTATTTTTTTTCTAATATGGTAAAAGCAAAACAAAATAATCTTATTAAATTAAGCAGCACTGAAAGATTTCATTAAGAGATTAATGTTGTTTCTCTTTTGTAAGTCTCTTAGGTATATAAATAAAAATCAAAAGCATCAAAATCTAACAATTTCTGTAAGAAACTGTTATAAACAGAATTCATAAATTGTAAGTCAATACTGATCTTGTATGATCTAATTAGGACCAGAAAATCTATAATTAAGCTCAGCGCCAGTACTGTGATTTTATGCAAGACACTGTTTCCTCTTCCTCAAATTGGAACTATTAATAGCAATGAAATGCTCCCTGCAATCTCATGGGTGAGCAAATGAGACAATAATCAAACATTCTAAAAAACTATTTAGTATCATTAAGATAAATCTTTTTTTTTTTTTTTTTGAGATGGAGTCTCGCTCTGTCGCCCAAGCTGGAGTGCAGTGGCGTGATCCTGGCTCACTGAAAGCTCCGCCTCCTGGGTTCACACCATTCTCCTGCCTCAGCCTCCCGAGTAGCTGGGACTACAGGCGCCCGCCAACGCGCCCGGCTCATTTTTTGTATTTTTTTTTTTTTTAGTAGAGACGGGGTTTCACCATGGTCTTGATCTCCTGACCTTGTGATCCGCCAGCCTCGGCCTCCCAAAGTGCTGGGATTACAGGCGTGAGCCACCGCGCCCGGCGATAAATCTTATTAAAACAGAATAATAAGCCATGGAATGTCTCTTAATTTAAAACTAACTAAAAAAAACCCCTCAAACTTTATATAATATTATTTTGAGTAAGTTGAAAGAATAGTGGGGTGAATGTGTAGTGAAATAAAATAATTAAGTAATGCAAGGTGGACTGAATGCACGTTCTCCCTTCCATAAGTGTTGGTTGATTGAATGCTGTCAATCTGAAGGGATCGGGTCTCTAGTGGAACAGGAAAGTAGTCCAACCCATTCAGTATTTTAAGCAGCTATTGGAATAGTAACATAGAATGCAGGCAGATCACATTTGCAAATACAGAGACTTATCACACAGACTTAAATGAGCCAAAAGGGAAAAGCAGCTAATAAATATACAGATAGATAGATATGTTCCAGTCTTATAGGGTCCAGGTCACAAGAGGTAACAGAGCTAACCACATCACTTGTGGAGTGCTATATTCCATACTTAACGCCACCTTTTACTGATAAATTAGTCAAATGCAGTGCATCCAAAGAAGGCAACAGAAAAGTAAAGGTTCTGGAAGCCATATGTGGTGGAAAGGAAATGCCTAGTCTATCAGTAATCAATCATTAAGCAATGGTTGCTTTTGTAGTGTCACAGAAGAGTCAATCAACAGATGAAACCAAAGATCAGTCCCTCATTTAATGGAGTGTTATATTATCTGATGAACAGCTTCAGGTACTATATATTGCAGAAGTTAGTCCACAATATAGACTATGTCCTCCAGTTAACAAAGAAAAAGTTAACTCATCTGGCAATCTAGCTTGTTAGTTGAATTTCTGTAACTTTCTTTTGCAAACGAAGGAAAAAAATGTTTCTAAATGTACATCAATATAGTTCAGTTAGAGTTAGCATCATGCATTTTATGTCAGTAGTGACCATCATGCCAAACTTTTTTGTGGGGGACAGGAAGTGTCAGTCATTATTTGCAAGTCATCCAGAATAGCTGGATGCACCACTCAGTTCAGAAAATTGTAGAGTAATAAACTATTTGGCATGTGTATGCAAACATTGGAGGTGAGCTCACACCTAAGAAAATTGACTTGTTTTGTCTTGTTTCTGAGGATGAAATTCCTAATTGCTATACGTATTCAAGCTGAGGGAGGATAACATGTATTCAGGGATGTCACGGAAGGCAGGACTATAAGAGTAATGGCTAGAAAAAAGAGCCTATAAAACTCTACAAAAGACTCTTAAGCTTGGGCCAGTAATGCTATCTTTCATACAAAAAAAAAAAATTTAGGCTGGGCACGGTGGTTCACGCCTGTAATCCCAGCACTCTGGGAGGCCGAGGCAGGTGGATCACGAGGTCAGGAGTTCGAGACCAGCCTGACCAACATGGTAAAACCCCATCTCTACTAAAAATACAAAAATTAGCTGGGTGTGTGGTGTGCACCTGTAATCCCAGCTACTCAGGACACTGAGGCAGGAGAATTGCTTGATCCCGGGAGGCTGAGGTTACAGTGAGCCGAGACGACGCCACTGCACTCCAGCCCGGGTGACAAAGCAAGACTCCATCTCAAAAAAAAAAAAAAAAAAAAAAAAAAAATCTAAATGCCCCAGACAATTCTGTGAACCAATACTGTTCATAAGCATGAGAATACAATTCATTTATTATGAATTTATAGACTTACCATTTAAGACTTTCTTTTCCTCCTCACGATAGTCTGTATAGCAATTTAGAAAAAAAAAGTCAAATAAGAATACTTTAATGTCAAAGAGAATGTCAATCCACATTACTGATTTCAAGATAACAGTCCTTCTTTTTTGAAGGGCTTTCTTCTAAGGTCTGAGGAGAGAAACAGGTTAATATAGAAAATGGCCTTTGTTTTAAACAAGTAAGTTTCATCTCTGAAGACTGCCAGACCATATTTCTCCAGATGTTTGGCTCCATTTCATTTGGATTTTTTCTAATTTTTTGGTCACTTTTTAAAATATCTTGGTTAATTTCTATACAGAGCATATGTAAATGCCAGGTTTCATCCAGGTTATCGTATTTTAAATTAGTACAAGTTAACCAGAATTTATTAGATTATACGTCATAAATTAAACACGCACATTAACAACTCAAAGAAAGATGTCTTCTTATCTTTCCCTTTTACTGAGTTCAATGCGTAAAATGATGGTTATTTCAAGTTTAAAATATGTTCAGATTTTTGCATGTATACCCAATGCAATTATTAGTGTTACAGACCCAGAAAAAAAATTAACAGGTATTTTCTTTCAGGATGGCAGCCAACTCACAAACCTATGTTATATTCTAATAACTGCAAGTGCTATACCGTTATGGTCAAAAGAAACACCTCAGCAAACTGTCAAAATTTTTTAAAAAATGGGTTAAGCTAACAAAAAATATTCAAATAGTCAAATTGAAAGACATCATTTCTTAAGCTGACATCACCTTGTTTTATACAAAAAGAAACTAACATATTTAATATCAAAGCTTTCAAATTTTTTGTGTTCCAATATTTAATCACCAGAAATTCCATAATTAACTCCACTTCACTCATCCATCCCAAAATAATAATCATTAAGGAAGCCAAATGACCATCCTTTTCCTTTTCCTTATTTTACCAAAATAATTTTACAGCTGAAAGGAATTTTAACAACATACAGCAAATTATCACCTGATCTACTAATAAAGGCTGAAAATCAGGGGTCAAAGGACTTGAATGAAATCCACCACTCCAGCAAAAAAGCCAAAATTAGATTTGTCTCCCCTGAAACACAGTCCTATTTTTCTTTGCAATCCAGGAGTTAAATATTTCCTAAAAAGATAGCAGGCCTAAAAACCATTTAAACTATACTTCAAAATGAGTTTTGTTTATCAACTGCTAGATACAAATCTGGCCATTACAGTTTGCAAAGGATCACTGATGTCACTGCTTGGTCATGTACTTTCATCCAGTCAGTTTTATCTGTCTTTGTTGTTGCAGTTGTGATTATTTGTTTTATCTTAGAAATTCACAGAACATATATCTATTTTCAGTGTACAATAAGGTCAACAGTTTAATAAACCTCATTTGTCATGTAAAACAAGTAGTTTTTATCTAAGAGGTTCACAGATTTTGAAAAATTGTCCCAGGTAATTTGTTTCTAAGAAGAAAATATTATCTCATATGATTGCTTCTTGCCTGATATGAATAGATTTGGATTTGTCAGAACTTTCCGGATTCTGCTAAATTAGTAGGTTTTTTTTCCCCCCGAGTCTTTTTTTAATACAAGAAGTACTAGCAGAAAGATAACTTCCACTTAAAGAATCTGGGTTACGTTTAAAAATTCTCTTAGTCTGTTTTTACAACTCTTTTCAAAAACTGAGTTATAGAAATGGAGGAGACTATTTTACAATCTTAAGCATATTTACATCTGAATCATTTTAGTCACAGGAGATACTTTCCTCTCTGAAAAGAAATCTGATGTTTTCTCTTGGTAACTAATTCCATCATTTAGTTGGCTCCATGGCCAATCAAATTTGTATCTTCTCATAATGCTGGTTAAACTGCTTTACTCTGATAAGCATCTTTATTTCCGGAGAGGTCAGAGTCATTTAGAAGGCTGGTGTTGTGATCTAATAGCACTCAGCTCTTCCTTGGTAAGGATCTTTAATTATGACCCAAGTCTAGTTTACCTCTGCTGAGCAGAGGCACAGGAGGATACCCTGGAATGAAGAAAGATCTAGCAGGAAGATCTTTCTTTTACCAGCATGCTCATTCTTTAATAAACATCTATTGATCACCTTAATAGGGATATTGACATACCATTTGGATAAAAAGTTAGAAAAATAAGAAAATATATTCAGTCTGCTTATAATACATAAAGATAATTTGGAAAGACAAAACAACAACAAAAACATGTCCTTGGTGTGTGCATGGGAGAGAAAAACAGTAGATGGGAGGTAGAACTATGATAAGGGTGCTTCTTCTTGAATCATCTGAGTGCAATACTTATTCAAAAAATACAATAAATGGAATTAAAAATAAAGTCGATGGCTTTTTTTTTTTTTTTTTTTTTGAGACAGGGCCTCTCTCTGTCACCCAGGCTGGAATGCAGCGGTGCTATCTCGGCTCACTACAACCTCTGCCTCCTGGGCTCAAGCAATCCTCCTGCCTCAGCCTTCCAAGCAGCTGGGACCACAGACATGCACCACTAGGCCTGGCTTTTATTTTATTTTATTTCTATTTCTGTAGAGACAGGGTTTCGCTATGTAGTCCAGGCTGGTCTTGAACTCCTGAACCAAAGCGATTCACCTGCCTTGGCATCCCAAAGTGCTGGGATTACAGGCATGAGCCACCGTGCCCGGATGATATGCTCTTTTTAAGATTGCATGTGGCAAGTGCTGTAAAAGAGGTATACAGAAGGTGTTACTGAAGAAGCACAGAAGAAGAATGTTTCTACTGGAAGAAATTTGAAAGGACTCCATAGAAGTAGTATTTTAGCTAAGTTTTGAAAATGTGTAGGCATTTGTCAGGAGTCCCTGAAGAAAAGCATTCCAGGGAAAAAAAAATGCTGAGCACTAATTGAATGTTTTACAATTATCTTGTAGCTATAATCCTCATCTCCCTTCCTTATTCCAAAAGGTTGGTATTATGTCACCATCAGATACAAGCTCAGTCTTGTTGCCAGGGATCTTATTCACAAAGTCCTAAATTTACTGTTCTATATTCCCTTACCTGCTTAGCCTTGCCGGAAGACTTCTTGGTTCTGTATAATGTGTTTAATCACCATTTTGATAACCATTTTTCCTCTAGAAATTCCTCCACATCTCTAAACAGAACTCTTCGTAACACAACTTAGGCCTGATTCTTTTTTTAAAATTAAATATTATTATTTTTTAATTTTTGTAGAGACAGAGTCTCACTATATTGTCCAAGCTAGTCTCAAACTCTTGGGCTCAAGCAATCCTCTTGCCTTGGCTTCCCAAAGTGCTGAGATTACAGGCATGAGCCACCGCACCTGGCCAGGCCTAATTCTTGTTTTTGATTCAGAAATCATACTTATTTCTCAAATCTTATAAAACTTAATAATTTCTGCAGCTTTAAACTATCTTTACCTTACTTTCTTCTATTCATCTTTATAATCACCTTCTGAATCATCTTTCAATTTTGTGCATCTCTCTAACTTCTAGCTCACTAGCAGAATTAAAATGAAGATTTAATAGTTCAAACCCACATATTCTGAAAAATCCAAGGATTCAAAAGCTTTAAAAATACCAGAGTATTAATTTTTCCTAGGATCAGTTTTTCCTCCATTATTATTTAATCACAGCAAATGCTGTATTTTTAGGAGTTCATATTTCTCCCCAAGTTGGCTTCACGTGTCATTTTTTAATCAATTCTCCAATTTGTCAGTTATTTTCCATTCCTGTTCTATCATCGGAGGTATTATGATTCCTTTCTTATTTGGAATCACCTGCACATGAATATACACATGATCAAAATTCCTCTATGAAAACAAAAGAACTGCTAACACAAACAAAACATCAGTCAGTCACACCACTACAGCAAAACACACTTTCTATTTAGGTCTATATCTGCACCCTAACCAGGGACTTCTTACCTCTACCTCCCATTCTTAATTACCTTTCCCTTAAATCTTTCTGGTAAGAATTACCCAGACAACAGACCCCATAGCAGAAGGAGCAAATTAAGGCAGCCAGGCTGAGATAGCAAACATGTCTGTCCAGTAAAGCCCACTTCAGAATGACTCCCAGCCTCCCTCTCTCCACCAGTAACTGTCTTACTTCTCCCCTATCAGTCTCTGAGCTTGTGCTTTGTCTACCTAAATTGTCCCCATTTTACCAATGAGGAAACTGAGGCTCCTAGAAGAAAGAACTTTGACTTTAAAAAAGCTGAACTTCCAACTGGCAGGCAGCCCATTCAATATTTGTCTTGTCCTTGCCCTTGCTCACAATGCTGTGACAGTAAAAGAAATCTCTGAAAGCAGTGTCTCAGCCCACTATGGGTCCTGGTGTCTATCTCCACCCTCAGCCCTACAGGTGCCAAAGTTTGCCTAGGAGGAACCAAAGAGCTGTCCAACGTGTGCATACCAGCTTAACACGTATGTGCCACTAATACCATCATTTTTAATAATAAAAAACTAATGCATATAAGATGGTTTCTCTACTTCAACACTATTAACATTTTAGGCCAGAAAATCCTTTGTTGTGGTAATCTGTCCTGTGCAACATAGGATGTTTAGCAGCATCTCTGACTGCTATCAATTAGAATGCCAGTAGCATTTACTTTCGTTCTAAAAACCAAAATGTCTCCAGACATTGCCAAATGTCCCCTCGAAGAGCAAAATCAACCCCAGTGAAAAACAACTGGCATATACTAAAAGAAAATACATTACAAAAAAGCAGGTAACATTTAATGAGGCAACTCTCTGCCTTACAAAAAGTTTGTTTATCCATGGTTTAAGTGGGCTTTTTCAATTACATAACTCTGTAGTCCTTAGTAAGATACAATACCTACAAGCCTCAGTATCTTCACTTTTAAACTGCTCTAAATCCCTCTTACATAAATATTCTATTAATGTATGGTTCTAAGTGCGTTATAGTTATTAACTGCCAGACAGAGAGGGCATGAAACCTAAAAACACAAAATATTAGAAACTACAACAAAGCAATGAGAAATTATGAAGAAACATTCCTGAGACTGCACTATACCACTGAAAAATATGACCACTTAAAAAATATGGCATATTGATTTTTTAATGTACACTTATGGTCTAGAACAGTACTGTCCAAAAAAATTATAATGCAAGCCACAAGTACAATTTTAAATTTTTTAATAACCAGATTAACAAAGTAAAAAAAAAAAAAAAAAGGTTAAATATTTTTATTTAACTCAATATATCCAGATTATCATTTTAACATGTAAGCAAGTAAAAATTATGAGATATTTTACATTCTTTTTTTCATATTGTCTTGAAATATAGTGTATCCTTTATCTATAGCATATCTGAATTTGCACTAGGCATATTTCTAATGCTCAATAGCCACATGTGACAAATAGCTACAATAGCAGCCAAAGAATAAGGGCAAAGAGTGAGCACTCATTTTTCATCTTTACCAGAGAATGAAGTGTTCCACATATATAAATTATCAATAATTGGAGTTGACCTTTTCAAGCAAAATTTCTCCTTTTGTTCATTATTAATACATCTTTTTAAATAATAATACAAACCATAATACTTTTTATTTTATTTTTTAAATTGAGACAGAGTCTCGCTCTGTCACCCAAGCTGGAGTGCAGTGGCGCCATCTCGGCTCACTGCAACCCTCACCACCCGGGTAAAGCGATTCTCGTGCCTCAGCCTCCTGAGTAGCTGGGATTATAGGCTCCTGCCACCACGCCCAGCTAATTTTTTTGTATTTTTAGTACAGACGGGGTTTCACCATGTTGGCCAGGCTAGTCTCGAACTCCTGACCTCAGGTGATCCACCGGCCTCAGCTTCCCGAAGTGCTGGAATTACAGGCGTGAGCCACCTTGCCCAGCCTATCATAATACTTTTTAAACAAAGGATTATGATAAACACAACTCATTATTTGCTTAATAATAACACAACTGTATTATGTTTTATATTCTGAGTCTGTTAGCTTTTCTGATTTCTTCCTAGATACCCAGGCGTTTTACCACTGCCAGACTAGAAACCATCAGATGAACTGAAAACTAACTTCCCAGAGCTGTCCAACTGTGTGGCACCCAAAAAAAGTCAGGATTCCCTGACTTTGGGGGGGATGGCAGGTCACCTCATTTAAATGACTGTTTCAAGCTTTGGGTTTAAGAATCCATGTGTAAAATTCCTCTTCAACATATCCACCATTTCCCCCAACAACCCCCATGTTAGGAACAGTCTCTTTTCAGCCTTGATTCCCACTTCATCCTTTGTTTTCATCCATATTCTGTTCTCATTTAATCTAGGAGTTCTAATTGTAGGGTGAACACATGCCCTGATTTGCCAGAGTCGTAAGTTTACCCACTATTGTTCCAGCATAATTACTAAAATTGTCTTAGTTTGGACAATTACACAGTTACCCCATCTAATGGTCTCTATCATTAAGTCTTAAGACAGCAGAGACTGATGACCAATCCTTGCCTACAGATGAAGGGTATATAAGATACTATTAAAATAATACTTCACCTTAATTACTATAAATATTTCTTAATGACTGTAATATTTCCATACTGCCAATCAAAGTCTGTGTCAATAAAGCCTTGAAATACAAAACTTGCTAATGAAGTAGTGAAAGACTCTGGCTGAAATTTATTCCTAATTTTAGTAAAAAGGTAAGGAGTTACTCAAAAGAAACAACTATCATTCCTTCAAAGAAAAGGGTTATTAAAGTATTCTTGCTACTACAATTCCATGTCTAAGATTTTCAAAAGGTGATCTTCTAGAGAGGCTTATTAAGTAAAGAGATGACCTCAAACATCACCCAGATTATAGAGTCCCATCTCAGAGCTAGGGGGAAGAAATTGGTTATACTTTAGAAGAAGTTTAAAGTAAGAATAGGGGTTATCTATAGTGAGGGGGCAGAGTCGGAAGGTTCATGGCAAATGGGAGAAAAGGCTGGGAGGGAAAATTTCACTAACTTTTTATATTTTTAAATTTTTGAATCATGTTACTATATTATTCAAAAAATTAAATTCTAAAAAACTAATCTAAAAATCAGCCCTAAGTGTTGTAGTCCTCACACTGAACTTTCTCTAACAAACAGTCGAACTTTTAAGGGAAACTCACTATATGATTCTAGAGAGGAAATGAAGGAAAACCTTTGGAGTGGCTAGACGAGGAGGACAATGAAAATGACAAAACCATAGTGATTTGCACGAACGTAGTTGTTTAAATCCAAATTAAAGAAAAACACATGTGTACCACACTTCTATGCTGGTTTAGCACCAGCATCACTTACCTTTCAGAACAGCAGGTTTAATCGCCATTCTGCCAACGAGGCATTCTTTCAGCATGGATTCATAATTGACCCAACGATGAACCTGGTATGGAAAATAAATGATGGAAAAGAAACATGACTAACTCCACAGGATGCTCTCATTTTAGTATGGGCAAAACTAAACTTTCTGAAATCACTCTCAACACACACCTGAAAACTAAGAAGCATATTCAATTAGTCAACCAGGGAGTGATAGGCTGCACAGGTAGGGATTGTTTAGAACAGTATTCTCAAAGTGTTGGGACCTTTGGAAGTTCCTGACACCCTTTCAGGTCTCCATGAGGTCTCCATTTGTTTCATGATAATACTAATAAAAAGTTACTCACTTTTTTTCAGCATCAGAGCAATAAAAGCAATGGTGGGTAAAACTGCTAGTATCTTGTATTAATCAAGGTAGTGGGTCCAAACTGTACTAGTAATTATTATCTTCTTCACCACCATGAACAGTGGAGGGAGCATGAGGAAGATATTTAAGAATACTTAAGAATATCCTTCATGAAGTAGAAAAATTATTAATTAAATTTTGACCCTTGGGTACATATTTTTATTACATTTTGTGTGACAAAGTGGGAAATTCTCAAAAAGATTAGTGTTATAAAGTATGATGGTTTCCCTGTGAAGAAACACTTAGATGACTGTTTGATTTGCAAACGGAACTGGACTTTTTTCATGAAAGGCCATTTGGCACATGTTTACCTATAATAAACCTGCACATCCTGCACATATACCTCAGAACTTAAAATAAATTTAAAAAAGAAGAAGACATACATGCAGTCAACCAGCAGTGAAAAAAGCTCAATATTACCGATCATTAGAGAAATGCAAATCAAAACCACGAGATACCATTCCATGCCAGTTAGAATTGCTATTAATAAAAAGTCAAAAAATAACAGATGCTGCAAGGTTGCAGAGAAAAGGGGACGTTTATACACTGTTGGTGAGACTGTAAATTATTTCAACCATTGTGGAAAGCGATACGGTGATTCCTCAAAGAGCTAAAAACAGAATTACCATTTGACCCAGCAATCCCATTACTGGGTATATATCCAGAGGAATATGAAGCATTCTACCATAAAGAGACAAGCACACGACTGTTCACTACAGCACTATTCACAATAGCAAAGACATGGAATCAACCTAAATGCCCATAAATGACGGACTGAATAAAGAAAACGTAGTAAATATACACCAAGTAATACTATGCAGCTATAAAAAAGAACAAGATTATATCTTTGGCAGGAACGTGGATGGAGCTGGAGGCCATTACCCTTAGTAAACTAACAGGGAAATAGAAAACCAAATACTACATGTTCTCACTTATAAGTGGGAGCTGAATGATGAGAACTCCTGAACACAAAGAAATGAACAACAGACACTACTTAAGAATGGAGATTGGGAGGAGGGAGAGAAGCAGAAAAAATAACTATCAGGTACCAGGCTTAGTACCTGGATGATGAAATAATCTGTACAATAAATCCCCATGACATGAGTTTACGTATATAACAAACCTGCACACGTACCCCTGAACGGAAAATAAAAGTTAAAAAAAAAAAAAAGAAGGGCCATTTATAAGAACTACTAGTAAACAAACTGATTATTCAGACTCAGATATTTAACAGGTATTTTCTTGAAAATAAACAAAGTGATTCTACTGCTTCCAGGAAAACAACTGATAGTATTTGTTGTCAGATGCCACCGGCGGAAATTATATTTAAACAACCTTTCTGCAAGGCACCTTCTCAATATGCCTTAAAAGTCTTAAAATAGGCCAGGAATAATTTTAAGGTGGGGTGGCTCACTCCTGTAATCCCAGCATTTTCGGATGCTGAGGTGAGAGGATTGCTTGAGCCCAGGAGTTAGAGGTTGCAGTAAGCTGATCATGCCACCCCATTCCAGCCTGGGCAAAAGAGCAAGACCCTGTCTGAAAAAAAAGGACTTAAAAATCTGCAGCTATTTTGTTGGTGGGGTAGGACACTTTGGCTTTGATCCTGGGTGTGTGCAGTAGTGTAGTCTCTATATGATTTCTTTAGGTGTAAACAGCACCAAGGATGACTGTGACTTCCTTAGTGTCTGAGGGTACAATTATTGGTGGAGGCTGAGATGAAGTTTTGCTGGTTACTAGGACCCCAGGTAGGTTAGTCTTTGGGCCCCAGTGGTGGGAGCAGAATTCACTCAGATATTTAGGAATTTACCTGAGAAAATATTTGCATGTATATAAAGATGTAGGTACCAGGATACTCATCACAGCACTACTTAAATTAGCAAAATATTGGAAACAATCTAAATGCCCAGTTGTAAAAGACCGGCAAAGGAAAATCAATATATAAAGCTATTCAATACAATACTATATAATCATTAAAATAATCAGCCAAAAAATACTGATATTGGAATCTTTATGGCATATGCCAGAGTAAATAAGCAAAAAGTACGTAAAGTATAGAAAGAAGACAGTTGACTACAGGTATTTCGTACTTGCCTCCACTAAGAACCAAGATAATGAATTGGTAATCATATTCTGAATACATCATCCAAGAGAGAACACTGAAATTCAACAGTAAAGTGACAGGAGTTACGTAAAGCAAGAAATGAAAAGGAAGTGAGGCAGCCTACAGGGCTGGGATCAGCTGGGAGCTGAAAGAGACTCAGGTTGGAGAACTTTAGCAGTCCACATTCCCACCATGGACTCCTGCAATCTTAGCCACAGAAGAACCCTTTGACCCTTGCAGGCCCTGACACCAAAAGAGAGAGCTGCTAGGAGATTGTGTGATGGCACTGCTCCAGGGAGGAAGCTTGCACTGGGTCTCACAAGCTCCCTGAGACCTAAGCAGCTACAGTAAACGGTCATTTCAGAGCCCTAGCCCCAACAAACTGCACACCGTACTAGAACCCAGCAGCACCCAGACTGAAGTGCAAAAGAAGCATGGCTGCTGCCCCAGGAGTTTAGGTTCAAGGAATTGCCAGCTACTGCAGGCAGAGCTAAAAACAGAATTACCATTTGACCCAGCAATCCCATTACTGGATATATATCCAGAGGAATATAAAGCATGGGCTGAGGCAAGAGCAAGTCACCAGGGCTGAAGAACAGGTGATACATTCACTCCCCATCCACTGGCCTAGGCTGCCTACCACTAAAGGCATCACCACTCTGCCCAGGGGCAGGGTATCACCACAACTGCTGTCTCCCTCCACCTGAGCATTCCACTGGTAGCCTGGGAATTGCTCCTGCCTACCATGCCTACCATGGCTGGCCTCACCCGTCTCTGCCTATGTCACAGCACAGTTTGAGGGCCAGGAGGTTGCCCAGCCCAGTCCAACACACTGGCACCTGAACACTCCTCCCAGGGGCCTGAGGTTGGACATACCAACCTGGCTGCTACCGTCACAGCTAGTACCTCCTTGCACATGCCATCTCAAGGGTTAGAGACTGGCCTGCACAGCCCATAACAGCCTCCACCAACATAAGCGTGTACCACCTGGGACCCAGAGGTCATCCTGCCACTGCCACTGTCATCACCCATGGCACACCACCTGCCCAGGGGCCCAAGAACTCACCCACTGTTGCCACTACTGGGATCCAACTAGGCCACAAAGAGGCCCAAGAATCAGCTTGCCTTGATGCAGTAACCCTGGTGCCAGCATATGCCATCCTGGGGCCCAAGGACAGACACGCTTAGCCCACTGCTCCCACCACTGGGGCCCAAAGACTAACCTACCTGGGGTGTCCTAGTAACCAGCAAAACTTCATCATCGCCTCCACCAATAATTGTACCCTAAGACACTAAGGAAGTCACAGTCATCATTGATGCTGTTTACACCTGAAGAAATCATATAGAGACTACACTACTGCACACACCAGGATCAAAGCCAAACATCACAGATATATTTACAGGAAAAATTTCTCCCATATGAAATTAAAAAAAACTGAAAAAGGGCCAGGTGTGGTGGCTCAGCACTTTGGGAGGCCGAGGCGGAGGATCACCTGAGGTCAAGAGTTCGAGAAGAGCCTGGCCAACATGGTGAAACCCCTTCTCTACTAAAAATACAAAAAATTAGTCAGGCGTGGAGGCATGTGCCTGTAGTCCCACCTACTTGGGTGGCTGAGGCAGGAGAATCGCTTGAACCCGGGAGACAGAGGTTGCAGCGAGATGAGACTGCACAACCGCACTCCAGCCTGGGCAACAAGGTGAGATTCTGTCTCAAAACAAAACAAAACAAATGATATACAAAACACATTCAAAGGCAAATTATTATTTGATCTAAAGAGAGAGATAAACTCCAACACAATAATAGTGGGGGAGTCCAAAATCCCATTCTCAGCATTAGACAAAATCCCATTCTCAGCATTAGATGGATCTAGAGAGAAAAATCAACAAACATTGGATTTAAACTGGACTTCAGACCAATGGACCTAGCAGACATTTATAAAACATTTATCCAGCGATTGCAGAATACACATTTTTTTTTTCATCAGCACATGTAACATTGTCCATGACAGATATATGTTAGGCTACAAAACAAATCTCAACATATTTTTAAGCACTGAAATCCTCTTGAGTATATTTTCAGACCCCAGTAAAATAAATAAATACTAACAGGAACTTTCAAAACCATACAAATACATGGAAATTAAACAACATGCTCCTGAATCACCATTCAGTCAAAGAAGGAATTAAGATGGAAATAAAAAAAATTTCTTGAAACAAATGAAAATGGAAATGCAGCATACCAAAACCTGGGGAAATACAGCAAAAGCAGTATCTAAGGGGAAGTAGCAATAAATGCCTACTCCAAAAAAGCTGACAGATTTCAAATAAACAATCTAACAATGTACCTCAAGGAACTAGAAAAGCAAGAAGAAACCAAAGGCAAAATTAGCAGAAGAAAAGAAATAGTAACTGTCAGAGCAGAACTATATGAAATAGATTTTTTAAAAAAGATACAAAGGATCAATAAGACAAAAAGTTGATTTTTGAAAAGATAAAACAAAATTGGTAAGCCACTAGCTAGAATAACCAAAAAAAGAGAAGACCTAAGTAAACAAAA